AAAAGAAAAATAAAAATCAAAGGAAGCTGTAGTAAGCTCAAGAGTTCCTATCCATGTCAGACACTATCTGGAAACCAGGAAAAGAATTGATTTTCAGGGCTAACAAGATGCTATTTTTAGGGAAACAGGAAAAGAAAATGTAGGAATGAAATTCGATCTTATAGTTAGTCCTTGCTGGTATATGCTAGAAAAAAGGCCATCCTAGGGACATTGAAAAGTTATACCTTTCCTCCAAGAAACATTTTGATTTTGGAACACAGATTTACAAAGATTATGTGGCTCTTCCCCTGTATCCACCCTTACCTTCTGCCCAATACCCAATTCTTTTACCTATCACATAGGTTTTGACTTTACAGAGGCTGCACCTTAAGCAGGAGTTAAGAGGAAAAAGCAGTATTTGACAGGCAGTCTTTGACAGGCACCATCTGTCCCACTCTGCTTTATTTCACCTCCATACTTTGAAGGAAACAATACTTACTGATACTCAGCCACACAGTCCAGCAGACCTACATACTTTAAGGTCTCATGTTGAACAGCGCTTTCAAGAGCTCGAACTCCACTGACATCTTTTAGAATATGCTGGATGCTTTCAATGTAGCCAGATGTGAGATTTTCATCTATCTCTTTTAAGTTCCGCTGGGGTGAAAGTATGCTTTCCAAGGCTTCATGGAACCGTTTCCCTTGTAAAAATATGTCTGAAAATAAAATCAGGGGAAACGGAAAAATAAAAGAAAAAACACCAAACTAGTACTAAAAAACAAATACTCTAAAAAACTCAGTAATAACATTAAAAATTATACAAGATTGGGCCGGCCAAGTGGCGCATTGGTTAAGAGCTGGCTTGGGACGCCAGAGGGCCCCAGTTCAGATCCCAAATATGAGGGCCAGTGACACTGCCCTTTACAGCTAAGATGCTGAACAACAGCTCAACCTGGAGCTGGGCTGCCATGAGTCGCCGGCTATGGCGGTGGCGTAGGCTGCAGCCCCTGCTGCAGTGGGTTGCCATGGGCTACTGTGTGTAGCCAGCAGCCAGCATGAGCGACCAGCAGCCAGTGTGAGCGGGAGTGGCCGTCCAGAAACCGGCGACTGATCTGCTTCGCCTGGGAAGAGCGCAATGATGGTGCCAACTTGGGCCCGTGAAGCAACATCCTCCACAACTAGACCGAAGAACAAAACGACAGCAATTTGTCTGTTCCCCTCCCCCCAATTCCCCAGCGCTGTTCCCATCCCTTCAATTCCCCAATAAAAATCTTTAAAAAAAAAAAATTACACAAGATTTACCTTTAAGTGACAACCCGAGACACCACATTTCAGCCTCTTGTGAAACCTAAGAATGCACTTTAAAAACCAAAGGGTCTAGAATAGCTTACACAATAAAATGGATTAAAATAAAGTATTTCTAATTGCATCAGACCAAAACTAGAACTGAAGATCTGGGTGCTACATGACCAGATCTAATTTATGGCACTGTGGATTTAAGTATCCATTTTAGTAAATTACCTGGTTGTGATAATTTTTAGAAATTTAGGAAACTGTGTTTCTGTTTACATTTCTTTTCACAACCAAAAATTAATTATGGACATAAAAATAGTGGAGGAATCCTTTTAATAACAGGCTTAATGACTGGCAAGAAATGAAAATCAAGGCACATACAAATTAAAAACAACAAATTGTTATAGGGATGTTGTAGGACTTAGGGAGAGGGGAGGAAAATATGTAACATTCTTCTCCTGTACTTTTTTTAAGGGGTAGAACAGCCTAAGATAGTTGCTTTGTCCTCAATTTTTTTCCTTATACACTTTTAAGAAAGGAGAACACATGGGGGAGAGGGGTTGTCACTTTGTGAGGGGTGTAAATGTGTAACTATGACATTGTTTTGTACACCTGAAACTAATAAAAAAAATTAAGAAAAAAAATGAAAGAAAGGAGAACACAAACATATTCAACAAACGCAAGAAGTACTACATATTCACCTGACTCTTGGTAAGGGAAGGAAAGAAAGAAGGGGTGTTGTGCTAAGCAGCGGCCTTGGTGCTTTCAAAAGACTGTATTAACTTTCAAATACAACAACCAGCAACACAAAGATCATTACCCCCATTTCAGTGAATGAGACCTAGGCAGAGCTGTTAATTTGCCCGAAAGCAAAAAGCTGGACCAGTAATCTGTTCATTCCAGATCACCACACAGCAGAGCTAGGAAGGTAAACTCAGGGACCATCATTTAGATACACACAGAAACAGTGTAGGAAATTACATGCTTGGAGACAGAACCACAGAAAATGAGGAAAACAGTCTCATCTAATGAGGTAATATCAAGCCATATTATGTTTGTCAGGTATTTTTTACAAAGATTTTGAAAGGTCAGTTCTACCATTGGCAAAAAAAGGAATTGCTTCCAGAAAATTACTTAGAGACTTAAATGAAATTCAACTGAGCAACTACGTTATTCTATTCCAAATTTACTTGGCTCAGTTGCACTTAATGCCAGTACATGAAAGGCCTATAAGAAATTTAAGACTGATGGAATTAAAACCTAGGAAAAAGAGGTGTAGTATTCATCTACAGACTAGTTTAATGAAGAACACAAACACGTTAAAAACAGGAAGAAAAAATTGCTTCATCAACCACCAAGCAAATAGACAAGTCATTTCCCACTGCAGACTTGGTCTCTGGCTAGAGGCAACAAACATGGGACTGTAGATTACAGGATCCCATAGATTGTAAATCTCAGAACATTAAAAATGAAGCAATTTGTCAAAATAAATTTTAAAAGATTCAAGATTTATTGCAGATAACATCAAGTCAGAGTATTCACTCAATAAGTTAAAGGAATGAAAGTGAAATGTTTTCAAGTCCCAGTGTATAAAGGACATTAAAAAAAATCATGAGTCGCCAATATTCTGATAGAATGGGCAGGATAGATAATATTTTAGGATTAAAAAATTAGTGTAGCAAAAAAACTGAAAAAATAGGGCCGGCCAAGTGGCGCGATGGTTAAGAACTGGCCTGGGACACCAGAGGGCCCCGGTTCGGATCCCACATATGAGGGCCAGTGACACTGCCCTCTACAGCTAAGATGCTGAACGACAGCTCGACCTGGAGCTGGGCTACCATGAGTCGCCTGCGACGGCGTAGGCTGCAGCCCCTGTGGCAGTGG